GGAGGGAGAAGAGGGAGGAAAGGCAGGGCCTTTCTCCCGATACCTGCGAGGCAGCTATGGCGCTGCAGGCTGGCGCTGGGCCGCGGCTGGGCCGGAGGCTGGCGTTCTCCCACCGCTGCGCTATTCTGCTGCTGCTGCGCTAATCTCTCCTCAACCGCTGCGCTGATTCTCTCCATGCTCCGTTGCTAACGCTGATGTACTGCGCTAATTCTGAAGACTAACCTCCTCACTACTAACCTACCTGATTGAGGCTGGTACCCAACTTATATAGTGCTGGGTCGGTGTTGCATACTGTAACGTGCAGACCAGAATAAGAACCGACCTCTCAATACAAAGTACAAGATAACGCAGCGGAAGACTTAGATACGAATGATCCGAACAATCACTATTGCAATGCAGCCCTGAACACACATCATCATCATCGTTATCTGGTGTGAAGGGGGTCAGGCGCTTCACACAAGAAGACTGCACCAGCCCCAACCATACACAGACGAAGAAGGAGGGGTTAGACGAAAGAGGAGGGGAAGATGGGAATGTCGTCAACACCAAGTCTCGGTACAGGCCCAAATAGTCCCTCGTCGAAATGTCTTAATCCCAATGTCCAATCTGGATCCAATGTTGTCAAGTCTCAAGTCACAACTCTTTCTCTCTCTGTCGTAGTCTGAGAAGTCAGGTGGCGAGAGGGTGAGAAGAGATGGTGGACTTAGAAGAGGAAGAAGAAGAACTCTCTCTCTCTCTGTGTCCAGTACTAAAAGTTGGCGCCTTGATGCAGGTACCACGAAGATGGAGCTGGAGCGATGGCGCAACAGGTAAGTACCACTGGCCTCCACCAGTATCTCTCCCACTCTACGATCTACCACCTACCAGCGCCCAGCGCTGAAGACTACTCTATGGCTATGGGCGCCCAGCGTCGAAGACTACAGCAAGCGCTAATCTACTGCCTAGCGCTGAAGACTACTGCAGCGCTCCTCCTGAGTGCTGCAGCCGAATCCTGAAGACTACTCGTCCTACTGACAACTACCTGACCGTGAAGTGCCTGGGAAGCCCCCAGGTGCCTCCTGACTGCAGGCGAGCAGTCCAGGAGGCTGCTCTTGCCAATGCCGATCGGAGGCAAGGGCTGCCGCTGCAGCTCCTGCTCAAGCTCGTGAGGAACAGGCTATTTCTGGCCTGTTCCGAAACCCTGTATTCGTGCCTGAGTCTTAGGGGCAGTTGAAACAATGAGGGCCTGAAAATGGCCCTCCGTTTCAGGCTGGAAAAACTCTGGGTCTAAAAGGCCCAGAAATAGCCTGAAACGGAGTAGGGCCTGTAGGCCCTCGTTTTTCAGCTTTCAGGCTGAAACGACCGGGGCCTATAAGCCCTAAGTTTTAGGCTTTTAGGCTGAATGTCTGGGACGGGCCCTGCAGGGCCCGTGTGGCTACGCAGTATGCCACACCCCCCCTCCTTGAAGAACCGAGCTTACCTGCGAGGGCGAAGCTGTCTGTCTAAGGGAGGGACCACAGTCCGGGTGGGAGGGGCTGGTCGTGAAGCTTCCTGAGCTAACCTGCGCTTTTCATAATGCGCGTATATCAGCGGTGCGGATGCTTTCAAATCTGCGCCTGA